AAAAAGTTTTGATTTACAATATTATCATCATTAATATTATTATCATCATAATGTTCTTAACAATAATAATAGTAAAAATAATTTTAATCTGATACTTCCAGGAATACAGCAAATAGGCAAGATTTGGAAGGCTTCAATAATGAACTCCTTGGTGACTAAGCACTTGTTGAGCCATATTCATCTCAACAAAATAAAAAAACTAAAATCATAGTGAACAGGGCATGTAAAGTTGCCGTCCTGGTGACAACAGGTTAATCAGAAAAATTTGATGCTATCTATATGTGAGAATGAAAGGGAGGACTGGAAGGTGAATTCCAGTCTCATGAGTCTAAACTGACATGAAAGGGTGCACTTATCCAGGTTTTTTTTTTCTTTTTTGTGCAATCCAGTCACCCCCAATCGTCAGCTGATGTATGTGTACTAACAGAAAAATCACCTCAAACAAACCCAATGTTAAAGATGCCTAAAATGGAAGCTGCAACATTTTGGGCAAGTTTCATCTGCCAAATCTGAGCACAAGGGCAATTTTACAAACACTGTCCTAGGGTCATTGGGATTATTTCATCAATATCAATCTTAATCATTATATCTACACTCTCAGTCCTTACAAATACAAATAAGTGACAATGTGAGAACACCTCATATACATTTTTTTTAGCTTTTGCATTTTTGTTTTCTTTTTTGTTTTTGAATGGTGTCAATCACACAATTCATCCTCATATCACAGCCACTTTATATTCAGCTATTTTACATATCAGATTCCACACCTGAAAGAACTTGAAGAAGTTCCTCATTGAGAAAAATATGAAAAGACAATTTCCTGAAAGTTTAATGAAAGTTCATTGAAGTAGCATTTTTTAAAATTCACTATGTATCTGAACTGTCTAATGAAAAACAAAGAAACAAAAAAAAATTTGTCTCTTCAAAAGCAGTTACATCTGTGTTGTGTGACACAGTCTCCTACCATATCCTTCTAACCAACATATTACACTATGTACAAGATTTCTAGTTATCTTCCCTCAGGCTCCTTTTACGTACTTCAACATTCTTATAGAGAAATTAATTCTTTTTTCCCTAAAGGTGGACTTAAATGTAAGAAAACAATGCCTCCTTGGGTCACCTTTCACGTTCCTCAATACAAGACACGGCCTACAAAACAAGAGCTCACCTGAAAAATTTGCAAGTTGGTTCGTGGAATGATCACGTCTAGCTAGTCATTTCTATCATTAAAAGATGATTAGCAAGTCACTGGGGATATTGATATACATGTAAAAAAAATAAACAAATCAAATAAATGGACCTGTGAAACTGGGATTTAAAAGTGGACATTATTTTGAACATTAAAATATGATAATGATAATAATAACAAAAGAGAAAAAAAATCAAATATTTAAAAATATATAAAAAGTTCATAAAACATACCAAGAAATAAGAAATTGGTGCACACAGTATCAACTGCTTTTGGCGGTCAAGTATTTGGGTACAAACTCAAAGCTAAAATTGTCTGCCTGTTTACATCACAAACATCTGTCACCGCAGTCAACGGCAAATGGTACCACTTTCCTACTAGTTGCAGACAATAATAACACCAATCAGATTCCACACAAATCAATCTTCATTAAAAATACTAGTGAAGGTGACTCCTCTTCCATTAAGATCGATGCTAATGCTTTCAATGCAAAAGCATGTCCATTGTTGTGGTAAGATGTTCTAAAAATGGTTGCTAAATACAATAAAATTGGATGAATGGGGGAAACTATAATACAACCATTATGTGAATAACCCTCATCAATGCTTTGATGAATACTTTTTTAAAGATGAAGTCAAATAAGATATTAAAATATGAATCCTACATACAATTACTACAGATGAAAAAAAGAAAGAGTGAGAAAAGATCTGGCTATCTGTAGTACATCTTAGAAAATGCCTAAACAAGTATGGAACAGCATGTTACAAATTGAAGAGCCAGTGGGCATTTCTCCATCAGTTGCATTCATCATTAGCAAAAATGTATCAAACCTTTCACCTCTTTCCTTTTCATTCCTACACACACATGCATACGTCCATGACACATGCACATACACACACGTGCACACCCTGGCACTCCAGCTCAAAATGCACACAAAATATTACACTACCTAAAACATTTTTTTTCTTTTCATTACAAATTTACATCTAGGACTTACAGCCCAAATCCTAACTCTAAAAAAAAAAAGAAAAAAGAAATGTTTCTTGGCATTAACATGACTCCTACAATCTGATATATGGGTGTTAGATTTGTTACCAAGCATCAAAAAATACAGAGGAGGCTAGATAGTCCAAACAACTGACTGAGTAAAACACACAAGTGGCACCTCTGGAAATGGTGATACTTTTTTTTTTCCTTTTTTTTTTTTACAAGTCAATGTTAACAAGGCAACGTGATGCATTTGTACATTATCATAACGAGACCCTCCCCCTAGCAATTACACCCTCTTCAAAGCCGGAAAGACACACACAA